CCGAAACACCCCCCTCTAGCTAGGTAAACTGTGACCCGTGCGTTCTTCAGCTCTGTTTCAGCTGTCACGTGTCGGCTGCCAAACAGCATTCTTTCTGTAGACGTTCTAGAAGATCGCCTTGCGGGAGAGCTAGACTCGATACGTCATTGGCGCCTCTCGCTTAGGACGCCACATCCGCATCTCATCCAAACTACCGACCCTGTGATCCTGGGCAGGCTCTTCAGATTCTTCGACTAACGGATTATCCGTAGCCTCATATTAGGTAAATTGTAAAGGTACGAGAGACTCAGTCGGCCATCGGCTAGTCAACAAGTCTAGATCATAAAAGCAGATGTTTTGGGTCTCACAGCAGTTGCCACACGACGAATGGCTTTCATTTAAATCGTACAGGGGGGGTGCTTGCTCGCTATCTTCTCCAACACCACACAACCACCATTTCGACTGCCTCCAGCATCACCTACTAACTTTCAAAAGGAACAGATCTCAACTAGACCTGCAAACATTCATTATATCCTAACACCAAAAAAGACAGCATGCCGTAAAAAGGTAATTCCTCCTTGAGACACCACCAGCCCGCTGTACCGTTATTGAATCAACTCCCTCAGTTGCCCGTATCACTGGTCTTGGGGATTTTCGCTAATGTTATAGAAGAAAAGGAAAAGTAGTAACAATAATAATATCCGGGGAAACAAAAAAGGCAAATGCACAATGATGATGTCGTGGATGAAGATGATGGATGCAGGTTCCTGTACAACATAAAATGAAAGAAAAAAACATGTCAACTTTCCTGGCTCATTCGTCTGTCGTGGTTTCGTTGGTTATGGTGCTGGTCATGGAATCATGATGTCATGGGCCTGTTCGTTCGTCTCATTACCGTCAAGCACGCCAAAGTCATCGTCGATGGAGCCGTGGCTCCGCAGCGCCTCCTCGTTCGATGCCTCGTACCGCGATCCACATCCGATCAGGTCATCGGGAACGTCACTCCCCGGGGACCCAAGGGACCGCCGCGATCGCGGTGAAGAGCTACTCGGGGTCGGTGCTGGCTGCGACGGAGTCATGGGTGCCTGTTGGTGCTGTTCTACTTTTTCTTCTTCTTGTCCTTTCTCGCCCTTCGCGCCTTCTCCTTCGTCTTTTGCCACCCTGTTGTTGCTTGCGCTTTCAATCTGTTGAACTTCGCCTTCAACTTGAGCCAAAATGGGTTGTTTGTTCTCCATGCTGTTTTGCTGGACTTCGGGTTCTGTGTTCCCCGCGTCGCGAAAAAGAGGCTTGTCCTCGCTTTGTGCGCCGTGTAAATGCCCGCCTGTTTCCTCGCCTCCGTCGTCTGCCGTCTTCGGTTCAGTTCCTTTTATTTCTGTCCCGGTTTCCTGTCGTATCTCAGTGGCCATCATATCCTGTTTAGCGTGTATAGGATCGACTTGCTGGGCCAAGCTGCAATCTGGTAGGCCCCCTTGGGCCTTCAAGATCGCAGAGGACCCCTGCGGGCTATCATCTGCAGCTGAGATCAAAGGAGTGGCTGGATCACCTCCTTTTGACTCGGCTGCAGCCTCCTCAATTGGCTTGAGCGAGGCCTCTGGGGACTTTTCAGTGGCTTCCACTGCTGAGATTGACTCCCTGGTCGTCCTTGCAGTTGTGCTTCGATCACCCTCGGGATCTTCAGGCTCGTCAGGAGTCACGTCATTGACAGACGGCACTGCAGGTGCTCGATGGTCGCTGTCCCTCCATGGCGGTGCTCGATTCCCTCCTTCTCGAGGCGACTCGCAATGGTCAACGTTGCTTGGTAGTGGACTGGGTGGCGATCGGCCTCTTGTAGGGTAGTAATATGGCTCATTGGACATACCCGTGGCGGGTTCAACATACGTATGAGACATCTCGCTCACATAAGACCAGTCGTGTGGCTGGATAGTCCTGATCCGTGGGCGGCCGAACTTGGAATAGCCTTCCACAAAGTACTCCTGCACCGAGAAGCCATCATCGACAGAGATGGACGGCGGGTTGCGCCGAGCCCAGTCCGCATCCGTCTCTTGTGGATCTGGAAACATGCCAAGCAGGTAGAAAGCCTGAGCTCTTACCCGCGGGTCTTCAGCCAGGCAAGTCTCGACGACGGTGCGGTACCACTGCGGAACCTCGAGCTCAGTGCCGAGCTGAAGGGGTCGGCCATGAGACTCGGGCTCGTCTTCCTGTGCCGCGAGCGCCCAAAGAACCATGCCCAATTGATAGAGATCGGATTTCACACCGATGTACATTGAGATACGTTGGTTGCTTTCAATAAGTGGAGTCGCCTCCGGAGGCTCCCAGCCCACTGGGCAGCCTCTTCTGTTGATGTCTATGATTTTTGCGTTGTCGTCATCGTCAATTACGATGTTGGAGAGCGTAAAGTCTCCTTGGACAAATCCAGCCTCATGGATTTCTGAGAGTCCTTCAACAATCTGTCGTGCCCACCTCTCACGCCTGGGCCAAGACAGCTGATGATCGTGGTCGAAAATGACATCGATCAGAGCTCCCTGCTCTGCGTAGTCAATGAGCAAACCTTTGACATGATCGTCATTGTCGTCCACGATGACACCGTAAAAGCGAATAACATTATGAGAATGGCGCAAACGGTTGAGCGCGTTTATCTCGTATAGAAATTCATCCACGGTGTCTGGACCGGGAATCTCTTTTTTTATTAGAGTTTCCCCGTTGACTCTAACTTTGTAAACAAAGCCGGACATGTGAGAGTCGAATTCTATATCCTGCTCCTTTATCCGGCGGCAGCGCAAATGTGAGATCATCCGGACCGTGGGGTAATGGATGATTTCCTTGCATGATGGTCAGGACACCGAATCATCAACATCTTGTAAAGGGAATTACAACTTACATTCACGTCTTCTACCACATGCACATGAAGCCTACCATCTGTGGTTTGCAGCTTCAGATTTGTTACAGTGTCATAGAATTGGATGTCGACGAGGCTCTCCCGAATTGCCTCGTAGATCTTGGCGCTCTTGTCTCGTTGAAACTTCGTGTGAAGGAGGTCCATTTCGAGCGAATTATCTGGCGCACTGCGATAATCCAACGAAATGGTCACTCTTCGCCATAGCGTGTCTCTCTCCCGGTACGTGACGAAGAATTTCTCTCGTTTAGATTTGTCTCGGAAGTGCATAGACAAATTGAGTATCCATAAGTGTTCGAGCTCTTCATGTATGAGGGCATCGTACTGAGAGGTCGTCATAGAAGCCGCATCGGCCAAGGATATGGTGTCGGGGACATGCGGCATGTCCTCCTCTGGGATAGCTTCAGGGCTACTCCTGAGGTCACCGATGCTGTCCATCATCTTCTCTCCGATGGGGCTCTGGGGAAGGGAGGGCAGAGAGGGGACCACGCTCTCTACGTCATTGTGCAAGAAGTCGGGGGCGCTGGTTCGGGGATTGGACATTGTCTGAGACCCCGCTATGGAGGCATGAACCCTCCTGTCAACGGAGACAGCTCTTCTCTCTGCGGGAGTCGGCTCATGGGGTTCGAGATTGTCTCGGAGCTCTGACTGTTGTCTCTTGAAAGTCTGGGCGCGCGGCAGGCCGGGGACTACCTTCCTAGAGACACGCCGTATGAGGCCTGCCCGTCCATCTTCTTCGTCATTCTCGTCGTCCTCATCGTCCTCCGGCGCCGGAGGGCCCCTGGAAGACTCAGACGCACCGGTGGGTGCATCTTTCTGACCCAGTATCCTCCGCCACAGACTCTGTTTATTGGGGTCGCTAGGCGAGACGGGCTCCTGCGGGAGGAGATCGCTTTGAGCCATGAGGCTTCAGGAGGCGAGGTACAGGGCTTGTCGTATGCCGTGGCTCGACAAGAGAGGAATGATGTGGTGGAGAAGAGTAACGTTGAGGGAGGAGACCCAGTCGTGGGGGGTGGGAGAAACGTATGCTGTATATGGAGCTTCGGGCGCCGGTCTCGTGGATAGGCAGCCAAGTGGTCGGGCTCGTTGGACGCAGACGGGGCGAGGCTTGCCTCGAGACGCATAAGAGGCCGTGTTACTCCTTCTTTTGCGGCTGTACTGTGCCAGGAACGTATGGAGCGAAGCAGGACTGCAGCGCACCGGGGCGGCGGCGGGGAGTGAGAAGGCAACGAGTGATGCAAGATCTGACCTAGCTCACATTAAGCGCGGGCGACCATGCAGGTATCCGCTGCAACGGATAGCGAGAAGATCAGACGTATGTAGGGGGCGGAGGGTCATTGCAGGCGTCAAGCATGTTGTTCGGACAGCACACAAGACTGGACAGGAAGATGACGACGTAACGGGGATGAGCAGCAGCAGCAGCAGCAGGGCGAAGCGGTGGACGGTGTACGTATGTATGTGGATGTGGATGTGGATGTGTATGTGTATGTGTATGTACGAATGCGTAGTATAGATAGTAGGTGAAGTAGTAGGGAGCGCAGTATATCGTATGGCAGCAGTTGGCGGTCTGATTGATGGCTGAGCTTTTGCTTTTTGAGACACGAGGAGAGCTGCTGCTCCGCTTTTTCGAGGCGATCGATCAGGGATATTAAACCATTGGGCGTTGAGCAGTTGTCCTATCAATGCCGTAGTGCACTTGGAACGCCTCTCCACGCGGGTAAGTCAGTCAAGAGGCGCTTTGCTGGCGAACGAGTGGCTCGAGGGGGGCAGCTACTTGGGGGAGGACGGTGAGGCGGCCAATGCAGGTGGGTGATGATGTGACGACGGGGTGGACAGCTTCTGGCGCATGTGCAGGAGGTTGAGGTCACCAGAGCAGAGCAGAGCAGAGCAGAGCAGAGACAAGGAGATGTCAAACGAGCATTAGAGGAAACAGAGAAGTGAGATATCGGTATAGCATTTAGGTGGGCGAATGTAGGTGTGAATGTATGTATGCATCGAGGTAGTCCGCCCAGGTTGGTTCCCTCTCGCTAACAACCTACTGCTGGCGGTCACGGCGGTTTGGATTGGGATTTTGGGGACCAGACTGACTGACCGCATCTCATTAGCTTAGCTTAGCTTAGCTTGAACTAGCACACTACAATAGGTAGCTACCCTCGCCTAGCTCGGTCTAGTTAGTGAGCTGTCCCCTGCAAGACAATGGAAAAAGACGGGCACCATCAACGGCAGCGGCAGCGGCAGCAGCAGCAGCAGCGGCAGGGGGGTCGTTCCTCGAGGAGGGTAGCGGTGGTGATGGTGTTCGTTCCCTACCTCGAGCCTACCTACTGCATAGTAAGTCTTCACAGAAAGAAAGGCTAAGGTGGTTGGCGAGGTTGACCCTGACAAGGGCCAGGACCCCCCCCCGGTGGTGCTGGGGGTGTGTGCTGGGGGGTGCTGGCAATGGCTGGTGGTGGGGTTGCACACGTGTTTGAGCAATATTGGGGCCGCTGTAGTTTAAAAAGACAGGTACATGCTCAAGAGAATGGCATGGTTTGGGTTGAACATTAGGTCCCAGGCACCGCCAAACGTGCCCGATACACACCGACTTCCTACCTACATTGGTACATTGGTGATGGTCAGTATTGTACATACATACATACATATATACATATATACATACATACATAAGGTAGGCTGCATTGGTCTCAGAAAGACTCTTTTTTAGGCGTGAATAGCTCCTGTCCTCCATGGATTGCGGTATGGTTGTTGACTGCCTTGTCTGCCCAGTCCGTGTCTTGAGTTGCATGTATCTCGGGTCTACGGTATGGTACAACCTTGAATAGGTAGTGTGTTCATCAATCAAAGTTCAATCTTCCAAGGTAGTTACCGCATAGTAGTTCCCTTGAAAGAGTGAAGAGTGGAGAGTGAAATAAGCTAGGACTCGAGTCTGACAAGCAGCCGTGGGTTGCACCGATGCTCCCTCTCCCTCTGCGTGCTGTACGCAGCTATCTACATGTAAGTATCTCTCTTACCAACAAGGTATCTAAGTATGTAATGCCAGAAACTCTCTCGTATCACCCCGTGTAGCATTCATGGCCAATATTAGGTGTCCCCATAGGTTATTGTGGCATTGAGCGTCTTCCGCGGCTTATTCCCTTGCTGATGCTGCAACTGAGGCAATTGTTTCTCGGAGAGGTATATAAATTATGTATGTCATCACCATCGTCAATTGATCAAATTCATCTGACGTCCCACGCTCTTCCCGATGACCCGGCGTGTACCTCTCTTAGTCTACTGTAGCCTAGGTAGCCTGTAGGTAGAGCATGACATGGGATGTCTAGAGTATGTTGCAGTGGGTGGTGGGGGGATGCGTTGTTTACCATGAGCAGAGTTTGTCACTTCACTTTCTCATTGAAGTTTGTATTTCTCGATAGATTGCCAATTCAATTGCCATTCCGATCACTCCCTAATCATCCATTTCCTCGCCCTATCCCAGCCAGGAGCTCCTTATTAACATTGAGGTCCAGGGTAGAGTTTTCTCGGCCGTCTTTACCGCTCTTTCGGGAACTCTTCAAGACCTTGTCTCAACGTGTCAAGACGTCACATGCCTCATATCCCCAGCTTATCCGGGCGTCTTCCCTTCGACCTCCTCCGCTGAGCCTTTCAAGACGCGCCGCAATCGGCTGCAGACCCCTTAAAGATGCCTACCGCGCATTCTCGTGGGTTGCAAATCATCCCACGAGAGGTAAACCCCGTTCCATATTTCGCATCATCCTCTTCCACCATTCCAGTCCATGTCCATGCCATGCTCATGCTTGCTACCTTGCTGGATGGGCCAATTGCCAACGCATCACGACCCTGCAGCCAATCACGGCTGCAGCACGCCCTCCTCAAAACACCTCTCTCCGCAGTCTCATCTGCATTGCATTGTATCTGCCTCAGCAAGATGCCTAAGCTCAGCTACCTCGCTTTCACTCTACTCTACTCTACTCTGCTCTGCTCTGCCCTTGCTCTGCTCCATCCTGATCTACATTCTATTTGACTCTACCCTGCTGTGCAGTTGCATTTTACGACGAGTCACGGCACACAGGCAAACAGTCAGACACAGATGCCCTGGGCTTCACCTGCAAGCAACCTGCGGAATCTCTGTATGGCAATTCCAAGAGGGAATCCTGCCGTAGCCACGCTCTCTGCACGTCTGGTTCGCGGGGAAGCAGCTCGATGCGGATGCTCTCAAACGAACCGTGACCAGCAAACTCTGCAAGCTCCGTGACATTGTGTCCGCTACCAAAGTAACACTGCCGCAGCATCTTCTACGAACATGTTCTCGAGGCATTCAGGACTCCACCGTAGACTGACTCCAGTAGTCTGTAACTAACCAAGGTAGCTTGCTAAGTAACAAGCCAACTAACAAACCGATTGATTGACTGACATCAGCGATGATACAATGCCAATGCGGCCCAATCCGCAAACTAGATCAATATAGACATATCTCTCTCCATCTGTCCACCATCGACTAATTTATCGAGACAAACCAGCAAACAAAGGATGAGCCGAGCCCCAGCCCAGCCCAGCCCAACAGCCAGCCCAGGGGGGGGGACCGAAAGGGGCCAGGTGTGTGTCCTTAATTGCTGTCTTATTGTCGCTAGACTAGCCGTTAGACATGCAGCCAGCCAGCCATCCCGGCTCCGATCCGTGATTCCCCAATCGCGCCCATCGCATCGATTTATCAGCCCTGCCTGGAGGTATACCTGCCCGCCTGTCCCCCCGCGAAAAGGGCCAAACGTCATGGGGCCCCCAATGCCAATGCCAGTGCCAATGCTATGCCCTCTCCCGCGCGGGCCTTCTCTGAATCTGAAGGAGGGGTCCCAATTCGATGCAATCTTTGGTCCCGGGCCTGCTGAGCTGGCCTTGAGCTGGTGTGTGTGTGTGGGTTGCTTTGCTTTGCTTTGCTTTGCTTGCCTGCGCCGGACCAGGCGGCTTTTTCCTCTCCTTCCGCCTGTCTTCCAGTGGCCCTGCTGCTTAGGCTGAAGCTCCTTGGGCATCAATAGTTAAGGTAGGTAGTTACCGAGTCGCAGCGTCTCGCGCCATGGGGCCAGGTGGGCGAGTGAGGCTGACTTGCGAGAGATTGGCTACCAGCGAAGCCAGCGCCTTGCAGTAGGGCCGCCTGGGCAGATGCATGCGCTCCTCTTTAGCTGCTCTATTAGGCTGCGGTGCATTAGTTACATTGCTTGACCTCAGATGTGTACAGCAACTACGCAGTAAGTCAGTAAGTCGGGATCTTGCCTTAGGTATGCTGCTACAAGCCCCTTTCCCCACCACCTGATAATACCTATTCCTATTCTTTGAGTCCTGTAGTTCTCGAGGTTCGCAAACGTACATGCCTTGCGTGCCTCGACTTACATGACATTGCGTGACGCCAGCCCATCTCCATCTTGCATATCCCCGTCGCCGATTCCTCTCCCTCTTTAGCCTCCACCATCTCGCCAATGCCCTTCCGGAAGATGGAACCGTGTTTCGTCACAGACACAGCCCCCCTTCTATCCTGCCAGCGAAGTCATGTCTCCTTTCTGCGAACCAATTGGGCCGCATGAGTGCCTTGTATCGTCGAGCAGATGGTGCTCCCCCCCTTTACAAGCAGATGCAGATTACTCCTGTCCATCACCCGAGCGGTAGCTGGCATGCCATTGTGAACGTCACCAGCAGGTCGAGTGCACTACGTAGCTTATGACGACTCCGAGAGGCATCCTACACACCCTTCTAGGTTTGTGGGAACGCTGCTCGCATTATCAGATGTTGAACGTTTCCGCAGCGTGCGGCATTGATTCTCGTCGAAGGTCTCGTCCTGCAGTGATGTGGTGATGTTCTTTTATCCTATTCTTGTTCTTTTTTTTTTTTTTTTCTCTTTTCAAATTAAACAAAAGAAAGAAAGATAAGCCGATAGATTTGAGCAAGTAGCATGGATGAGTTACAGAATATCACCTAGTCGTAGGGCAGTCTTGTGTTGTACGATTACTTAGAAGCCGACATATGCCCATGGTTTAGAACTGTATATAAACATACCCTCAATATGTGGGTAATTCGTGAAGCTCATTAGGATCTTCTCGAGCTCTGTATTGCTAAACTCGATCGCGATATCAGTCTTCCCTACTAAACCCTCAATGAGCTATTGCGAAGTCCATGTTATCCTCCATTCGGGGTCATCAGAGCCGCTGTTTGATCAACTTGAAATCACCAGCAGTGTTGGACTCTTGAATCACGATACTAAGGACCCTCGTCCAGCCTCTAAAAAGCAGCAAAGAGCTCAAAGTTGCAGAGACCTTCTTCTCTCCCAGTGAAGAATCAGGACTCTTGACATAGCTACTGTCGAAGGCATACCTGGACTTTATTCTAGAAGAGTAATGTCATTAGACTCAAGAGTCTTTACAATGATTTCTACGCTGTATGTAGTATGACGGTTTGGAAATGGATCAAATCAAACAGTGAGCAGAGCAAAGAAGCTACAATGTCAAGCAGTAATATGGAATACCGAAGTCTCGAATGTCTTCAACTAATGAACATCAACTCGCATACCCGGCTCATGAATTACTGGTCTCTTGATTGTTGTTTGGCTCACTATACTCCTCCGTCAGGGCAACACACGTTAATTACCATGGCCGCGCCAACTTCTGTCAAGATAGTAATCCTTTGTTGAAGAGCGTATGAGACCATTGCCGAACTAACATGTATCACCCTAGCGGAGGAGAACGATATTGTTGTGCCAAGTTCCCGTATACTTTACCTGCCATGTACCAGCTGGAAAAATATAAATATTACAACTGGTCATTTGTGGCTTCTAAAACCTATAGACGACCAAAATGTATGATTGGCTGATTGTTTGGAAATGCAGGTTAAGACAACTCGGCAGCGTCGATGCTGTTGCCTCTCTTTATTTGCGCGTCTTCCCGGATGTACAAGAAAAATTGTAAAGCATCAAGTCATTACCACTTGCAGTTTTGACCAAGCTGCGTGTGAATATTACCACCCTGGAGATGCTTGATGATTCCAAGCCAATGTAGCTGAGCCGAAGTTGAGGCACACCCCCTTTTCCGGCTGCAACCTGCTGTGGGGTCATGCACTGATACGCGCATCTCATCACCCTGCGCCTCTCTGCTTCTCTTCACAGCTGGTGATAGGAGGGCCAGTGGACATGGCGGACCCAGGCGTTCTTACCAATAAGCAACACACTCGCATCAATCCTACCACTGTTGGGAGCAATTGGGCATTGATATGTGGTCGCCCTGTTCTCGACGCCTGCTTCATTCGCCATGGTTGATTCTTCGGCAGAAGTTGGGGGCTGCCAGGCGATGCCACGAGTCTCTGCAGAGGGAGAGAGGGTGGAGACCGTTCGATTTCTAACAAGCTTTTGCCTTTTTTCCCCCTTTCCAGCTCCGTCCGGGCTGAACGGATGCGGCGTCTTCAGCAAGGAATCGAGGGATCGATCGAGAAGGACTGCGTGGGCCAGGCAGTCTTGCAGCAATCCCCTTCTTCGCATTCACCCCCAGAACTCCACGCCAGCTGCGGTTCTAGGCATAACCCTCGGCGTAATGGCACTATTCAACAAGCTGTGCCAGCCGAGTAAGAGAGATTGGATGCAGCAGGAGCCTTCACCAGTGCCGATGATGCCATTGAAACACTGAAAGAATGCCGAGGAAGTCTTGTATTCAACGCTTTGTACATGCCTTTCCTATCGAGAAGATTGCCACTGCTAACAGCGCTTGTTCTCTCTATGGCGGGTTTCAAGTCTCCCTATCACCATCCCACTACTGTACATGGGGTCTGCTGTATGAATATTTTACACGTAAAAAGCTCGGTAAGCTGGAGAGTAGAGGATTGTGGTCAAACGCCGCTCTTGGTTGGATCCATCTCATCAAATCATGATCCCCATTCGCCATATACAGGAAAAGAAAAGTAAAAGAGAACATCCCTAGATCCAGCCCCTCGCGTGCAATGCTGTGTATAGAAACGTAGGTCCTCTATGGTACCATTATGCAAACCTGTTGGTAAAAGTACCCGCCACGATGGGATCAGTCATGGGGATTAGTGATATCTCACGAAAACTGTGGCAGCGTTTTAATCGCTCTTATCATCCTCTTCTTTGGATTTGGTGTCGTTCGCCTTTTTCCACTCGCATGCTTTGCAGATGTTGGCCTTTTCTCTGTCTATATTAGGAAAGACGAGCTCGAAAATGTCCGAGTACCAACTGGCCGGGCGGCCCTCAATGCCATCTTTGATATTCTGTTGCATTAGTTAGCCTTAGTAGTTCGTACGCATTGGGTGGGGATTTATAGACAGCAAGGAGCCACTATTCTGTTGAAGGCATACCTCCGGAAGTTCCAACCAGTCGGACATGTTGTCCTCTGGGAAGATTATCATCTTGCATCCTGCCCGGCGAGCTGCTACCGTCTTCTCCCGTAGCCCTCCGATTCGCAGAACCTTGCCGGTGAGTGTTATTTCGCCGGTCATGGCGATCGTGGGGTCCACTGGAGCGTCCAATGCCAATGACATGAGACTTGTTGCCATAGTCACACCTGCTGAAGGGCCGTCCTTCTGCACAGCCCCTTCGGGGACATGTACATGGATCTTGGCTTTATCGAAGAAATGGTTGTTGGGGAACTCCTTCGCCATCAATGATTTTGCAAATGAATAGGCAATGGTCGATGACTCTTTCATAACTGTCTTCAAGTTTCCCGTGATCTCCAGAGACGGCCTCGTGCTTGGTCTAATGGCAGCCTGGAGGATCGACTCGACGTACATAGCAGCACCACCCATCTGGGTCCATGCTAGACCCATAGTCACGCCAGGTGGAGTCACGTCGTACAGCCTGTCTGAGGTGAAGATCGGAGGACCAACATAATCCTTCAAATTGTCTTTGCCAATCGTGACGTGGACGGTCTCAGGCACCTTGAGTGCCACGCGAGGTTTCTCTGCAGTTTCCTTCTCGGAAGCGCTTGATGTGGTCGAGTCGGTGTCCTTGTTGCTCTGTTCTTTTTCAGACTCCTCAAGAGCAGACTTGCCCTCCTCGGTGAGTGCTTCCTCCTCAGGAAGGACCTCCTCTCCAAGGTCCTGCACTATCTTCAAAGCTGACTTTCGGTAAACCTTCTCGATCTGCTTCTTTAGATTTCGCACACCGGATTCTCGGCAGTATGACTTGATGAGTTCCTCGATAGCCTCCTCGCTTAATTTGACGTCGGCTCCTTCCAAGCCAGCCAGCTCCTTAGCCGCTGGAGCGAGATACTTCTCAGCAATCGCCATCTTTTCATCCGAGACATAGCCCGAGAGTCGGATGACTTCCATTCTGTCAAGTAGTGGTCTTGGAATAGTATCCGTCATATTTGCGGTGCAAACAAACAGAACCTTGGACAGGTCGACAGGGACATCCATGTAGTGGTCCAAGAAGGAGCTGTTTTGCTCGGGGTCGAGCAGTTCGAGCAGGGCAGAAGAGGGGTCTCCTTGATACCCTCGGCCGATCTTGTCGATCTCGTCAATCAAAATCAGAGGGTTTTCTGTCTGGCATTTCTTCAGAGCTTGGATAACACGTCCGGGGAGAGCGCCGACGTAGGTCCTTCGGTGTCCTTTGATTTCCGCCACATCAGTAAGACCGCCAACGCTGAATCTGTAGTATTGACGATTCAGCGCTCGTGCGATGGACTTTCCAATACTAGTCTTGCCCACGCCAGGAGGCCCAACAAAGCAAAGGATCTTGCCTTCGACAGTTCCTCTTAGCTTTCCAACCGCAATGAACTCTAGAATGCGATCTTTGACGTCCTTGAGGCCGTAGTGGTCTTCATCCAAGACCTTCATAGCGTTTGAAATGCCGAAATTCTCTGCACTACGTTGCCCCCATGGTATTTGTGTGAGCCAGTCCAGATAATTCCTTGTGACATTGAACTCGGATGCAGCTGGCTCAAGGTGAGCGAGCTTATTAATCTCGTCATCGAACACCTTTCGCACGGCCTCTGGCATGGCCAACTTGTCGGCCTTCTCTTTGAACTTTTCCACTAGTTTGTCCTTGCCGTCTGACTCGATGCCCAGTTCTCGACGGATGCCTTTCATTTGTTCCATTAGCCAATACTCTCGTTGCCGTTTCGTGATCTTGCTCTCAACATCTTTCGTGATCTTCGACTGTAATTGGGCGTTCATGAGCTCCTTCTTGAGCACAATCAAGGACTTCTGCATTCGCTCTTCCACGTTCAGACTCGAGAGGACCTCTTGCAGCTCTGCGGGTTCCCCAGCGGATACCGCCGCAGCAAAGTCAGCAAGCTTAGCTGGTTCAGCTGTGACGTTACCGGTAGACTGGCTCATAGAAAACGTTGATATCTGATCCCTAAACAGACTATTCATCTGCGCGACTTCCTTAAAAACATTGACTATTTCGTTCGTAACAGCTCGAATGACAGGACTCTTTGGGTCATGTGGCTCCTCGGTCAGATTCTCGACGTTAACGAGACTGACCGGGTACTTTCGGAGGAAAGAGGTGGGCTCGTACTTCTCCGCCGATTCAGCCTTGGACGTCACTGCGCTCTCCTCGAAACTGGCCACCACATCGCCTTTCTTTTCTTGCTGTACCTCCTCATCGACTGGTTTGGATGGGATAGGCTCAGGCGCAGGTTCTACCTCCGCTTCGCTGGTCTTGGCCTCAGTTGAGCTCGGTGGGATTAGAGTCGATAGCTTGATGCGGCGGTGCGGGTATAGGATCGCAGTAAGACTGTTCTGTTCGCCATGGACCGGGAAGGCACTAGTGATCTGGGCGAATACTCCAGTATCGTAGACGTCTTCGGCTTTATGTATGACATCGTCGTCGGCGTTTTCATCCTTGAAGAGGAAGGCTCCAACATAGGGCTGCCCTCTTTTGATCATTTCGGTGATGGCTGCGGCGACGTTCGGATCTTTGATGGTGATAGCCTTGTAGAATCCAGGAAACAAAGGACGCTTCGCAATGGGAATCGCCATCACCTGGGGATATACCTCTGGTACAATGGGCTTCTGTAACGCCCGTTCGGCACCAGACCTGCGCCCCTTGCGGCCGCCATCCCCAGATCCATCACCTCCGGATCCTGAAGAGCCTCCAGGGGCACTGCTACCACGTCCATCCGGTGACTCGGGCTTCCCCTGGCTGTCACCGCTGGACGGGCTTTCAGAGCTACTCGAGTTCTTGGCTTCGCCGAGCTCCTTCTCCTCCGCCTCTTTCTGTTGTTCGAGATTCGCCTTCTGCTCGTCCTCTGATAAAGGTTCGATCGAGCTGTCGAAGAAGCTGCCATCCTTCTGTTTCCTTCTTAAAGAAGACGTAGAGAAGTCCGAGGTCGCGCAAACGGCATATGTGCTTCTTATCGAGCGGTGCGGGGAGGATGACAATACCTGCCGAGGTCGGGCAGCATTGATGGAGTAAAGTCGTGCCGGTGCTCCTGTATATGCTACAGGCGGTCGTAGCGAGAGGTTTCCCAGTTGGGGCCTCCGTGATATTCGTTGCCGTAGGAGCATGTTGGACGATTTGGTCGGGTACTGGCAAGCTGTCTGGAAGGCAGATGGGAGCTTGCGACTCGAGACCCCCGGGTTGGCGGCGAGTACTCTGGATGAGTCGCGACACAAGAAGACCAGCAGCAAAAAGAAAGTATATTGAATGGAGAATAATCCACAAGGAAAATGACGCGCAAAGAGATATAGGAATGGCTGTGGCAGCTCGTTCCTAGCCTCTGTTCGGCTGTTCCTAGCTGTGGTGAATTAGTAAACGTCCTCTAGGAAAGCTCGGACTTATTGCGTTAAACGACGACATCAGCGATGAAAAATTGCTCCGTCGTCACTGCGGGTCGGCAAAGCAGCCGCCGTTCTCCGAAGTCGCCTCACCAGCTGTCAGCCACCTGAACCTGAGCCTGAGCCTAAGCCGGCCAGCCACTGCTGAATGAATGCACAGGCCAGGTGCCAAGCAGTTCCCCCTTGGACAGAAGCGCCCCTCAGTGCCCTCTTAGCACCACACAACAGCCGGCAAGAGCCTGGAACACTCACCAAAGGACCCTGCTCTTCATGTCTGTGGGGTAGCAGCACATGCCGCGCACCTTTACGTATTGCAGCACCTTACCCCACACCACTTACGACACCCTCAAGCATTACCATCTGTTCTTTCATGTTGGATTTCCTTGACCGCTGAAGCTATTCTCTGCAGTCTTGAGTGTGCTATCTCCTCTATTGCGGCTGTTTGGAGCCTCCTCTCTCTTTGTTCTCCGATTATCCGGCATAGAAAGCTCAAATATCCCCTACCGAGCATTATAAGGACTGCTCGTCTTTACCTTATAATACAATTCTTATCTTGCCGTCTCTTCCGGCTGAGAAGGACTATAAAACCACACAAAACCGACAATATCTATAAGTTACAAGGGAGTGAGACTCCAGCCATGTCGCCAAAGAGCCAGGCTGCCGATGTAGCCTCAGGGGTCTCCAAGCTCTCACTTAATCCTTCGGCTAAGAAACCTAGCAAGTCAAAGAAGAAGGTCGTGGACTCATGGGAAGATGAAGACGTCTCATCAGACTCAGAACCGGAGAGTCGCCCGTCAACAGCTGGCCCTGGCTATGATGGTGCACAGGATGGAACGGCAGCTCCTCCACCCACTCCAATCTCGCCAAACTATAACCAATCCCGTCCTTTCTCGCCAGGAGCAACTCCTCTGTCACCAACCGGCAGTCAATTTGCTGATCTCTCTGAAGCATCACCCCCAAGACCTGAGAAGACGGATGCCGTGGCTCGGCGCATGATTGCCAGTGCTCTCGGAATGAAAGTACCTCGACAGACGGAGGAGCAGAAAGCCTATGACAAGGCTGTTCGCGAGAAGGAACGGAAGCGGAGAGAGGAGGAGAAAGAAGCAGAGAAAAAGAGGCAACAGGAAGCGGAGAAAGCCAAAGCGGCGGTCTGGGATGATTGAGAATTTTCCGAACTCGCTGACTATAAATTTCACTCATGTCTTCTACTTATTCCGGAAGGCTAAGGTTCAGACCATAGATATGGCCAAAGAGACACGCTCAAGAATAGATGTTTTGATTGACCTCGATAATGTCAGTCATGAGTTTTTTTATGTTCTCGCGAAGGCCTAAAACCGCGAGCGCCTATCTTTAGTTTCCTGTGTGGGAAGGGCTTGGTTGGATCATGCAACCATGGTCAAAGAATATATTACATCGCGTCACCGCGATACATGGTAGGGATGGGATAGGATCACATGCTTGCCCTTGAAAATCTAGGCGGCAAGTATATCAGAAAGAAATCTAGCAAATTCGAGAAACTATTGTTAGTTGTTTTGTTACATGATGATGTGTATAAACTTCAGAATCAGTAAACCAGGGCCATTCTCCAGCTTAACATAAACCTCTTTCCCCAGGTCGAGTTATTTGACATATATTTGAACAAGCCCCAGATCATACTACTCGGCAACATCCTGAGCTGCCGACGGTTCTTGTAGCGGAAGATGTTTGCCCTTCCACAACAACCGAAGTTCTGGTTCGCCACCAGGAACAGGTGAAAGCCGCGTCCCTACTCCCAGACCTTCCAAGCCCAGTTGCACTGCAGGGGGGTTCCATACCATCTGACGTAGCTGTCCGGCCCTTGAACAGGCGATGAATCCCATCGGTCGGCGGCTCCAGCCAAAAGCGTCCCGAACCCCTTTAGTGGCCGGATTTTCGGAGACCAAGAATGCAAGCACCTCAGGTCCCCTCCACCCGACTGGTGCTCCGGCAAAGGTGCCTTCGAGCTCGCGCATCATGTGAGGGCTGACTTTTCTTGATACGGCTTTGCACTGCAGCAAAACTCTCAGTGGCCGGGCTGAGGATGGGATGGACCATGTTCCTACTAGGTCGATACCAAAGTCGGAATGGCCCCCTATTCTCTTTAACGAAAAGCCATACTTGGCCAAGGCAAGAGCCACGGTATACTCATAATGAGTTCCCACATATGTAGTCGATTTAGGGTCAAGACCTGAGCGGTCTGCATAGTTTAGAAAAGAGGCTAGATCATGATGATTTGAAGTTGGCGGCTTCGGATACACGAGTGGCGTTTCTGCGGTGGATGAGAGCCGTTGAGAGAAGGAAGCTTGATGAACTATTGATTGGCTGAGTCGTCCAAATCCGTAGAGCAGAGAAGCGCGGGTTGAGTAAGGCTTCATCGCCGTCTTATGCGTTCTTAGTAAACTTTCTCATCACCACGCCCTTTGCCCACAGCATTGACTCGATGAGACCGGCTGTTGTTGATACTGAGGGTTTCTAAGGGCTATTCCCCTGGAAGTGCTAACATACCTAAGGTGCTCTCTAGGTTCGGGAAATTAGGTGATATTGGTTGTGATTGGCTAGTGTGTTTGGCTGTCTGGGAGCTTGGACCACTTTGCGACAACGCCGCACCCTTCAAGCAATTCAAGCAAACACAACGATCAGCTTCCTCCAACAGCAGAGCGATTTCCATAAGTGGTCGACCATGGGCGACAGACTTACGCAGCTGCAGGATGCTGTTGATCAGGTATGGGAGACTCTTCTCGGTAGTGAAGCTGACGGGGGGCTGACAGGGCATTCACACAGCTCGCGCAACAGTTCGTCGCATGCATCCATTACATCCACAGACACCATGACCTCGAGACCCTTGGCCCGAATGACAAGATTCGAGAGCTGAAGCCGGAGGAGCAGCAAAGAGAAGGTTAGTAGCCGTGATACATGCATGTCTCTATGGCCAATAAGCTGATCTGATTTAGTCGATCCCCTTCCTCCCGATGTGTTCAAGGCGGGCCAGATCGAACTCGCTCGCGACCTTGTCATAAAAGAACAACAGATTGAGCTTCTAGTTTCTAGCCTTCCGGGTCTCGAGAACAGCGAACGAGACCAACAGCAGAACATCAAGGAGCTTGAGGATGAGCTGAAAGTGGCTGAGGCGCAACGGCAGGACGCGATCCGGGAAAAGGACGAGGTCCTGGCAAAATTGGATCAAGTCATTCGCAGTATTCGACGACCTTGAGCTTTCACTCGTCACTGCTAAAGGCTGACGAGAGGATACTTATTTTGCATCAGCGATACTAGCATTGTTAGGGCGTTACGGACAAGGCAGGATGGCTCACACGGCCGTATTTGCGGAGAGGCACCGGTGGTCATGAGTCTGGCGTTGTGGATCTTTTAGACTTCTATTGCAATACAATGCTTTGCGGTTCGTTTAACACCGCATCTACATGATGTCTATAGGGCTCCCAGTGTGTGTTAATCTTCGTCTTTGCTTCAATTTGAAGACTTGAAGACTTCCGGGAATGCTCCTCGTAACTCGTCTAAGTGTCTTATCTGAAATTTGGATGCCTGTGTGGGTGGAATAGGCACGTCTTCCTCGACAAGATGAGCGGTAGTCCAACCCAGTTCCTGTGCCTTCTTGCAATTGTTGAAGGAGTCATCTGCTCTTGTCAGACGTATAATTGTATTTCTAGTGGAGTTACTCACCAACGAAATAGCAATCCTCGAAATTATCCACGCCTGCCTCCTTCATGGCCTTCTCGTAAGCGTCCTGGTGTGGTTTGCATACAAAGGGCACAGAGGAGTAATCGCAGAATGTGATTCCATCGAACATCTCTCCGATTCCGAGTAGTTTCACTACCCTGCGGCCGTGAGTGATGTAAGCGTTTGTGAAGAGCCATAGCTTGACCTTGCTCCTGTCGATATCCTCGAGCAATTTGCGCAGCTCCGGTCTAGGTTTAATGACGCCTTCTAGAGGCAGCGCATCATCAACCTTTGAGTTGTAGTCGAGGGCGTCAATCTGATGGTGCCGTACTAGGCCCTCGATGGCAAGGCCATAGCTCCGGTAGTACTCTTGATGAAGTCTAATGGCCTCCTCCCGTGAGAGTGAGAGATGTTGCTCAAAGTAGTCATCTATTAGATCGGCCATGAGATCATGGACCTTCGCGCCTAGGATTTCATGTTAGTCTTGGGGCAAATGAAGCTTTCACTGTGTTTCTTACTCTTTGGATAGAGACAATTGTCAATGTCGCTGCGTTGAGTCAGAACCTATTCTATCCTGGTAGGTTTTAGGGCATGAATGGCTCACAAGAAGAATACCTTCTTCGGAGTTGGAGCATTATTTGCTCCGGCCTCCTGGGTTCCCATCATGAAGTTCTAGATGCCGAAATAGGGAGATGGCAAGTCGATGTTGTATTGTTATTGAGTGTCAAAGGGTTCAGGAAGTGAGGTGTAACTAGTGACTACTAGTAGCGTTTCGGTAGCTTCCGAATTGCGGATATTGGGCATTGAAAAGAGCCTTGATTCAAGTAGGCGCTTTTCTTTTAAGAGTATGCAAGTCTACTGAGTTCAGCGACTACTGGGACAATATTTGATCATTCTTTTTGGAAGTCAAAGATATTTATACTCATGTTTCTGAGTACTTCTTCATTCATTTCTAAGCAAGATGTGTTCAGTTCCAAGGTTGACTCAGGCCGGTGACAGCCACAGTCAAATGCTAATTGAGTTGCTGCATTCTGCAATACATGTCGCCCTTCTGCTGACCCTTCCAAGTACTCTTTAAGCAAATTGGCTGGCAAAATGCAAGACAAGAAGAATTCTGACTGAATCCGTTCAATTTTCCCTTCTCTTGTACAAGTATCACAATAAAGATACTGGGGCGAAGATAGGAGGTCAACTGTTTGAGGCTTCTGTGGATGTTATACTGGGAGGACGAGCTGTGGCGGTGTGGCTGGGCACCACCGACTAGCGTGGTCTAGCACACCTTCCCTGACCTGAACCCTGTTGGCAGTCAATAAAAGTTGTGACAGCCTTGCAACACAGGCTCGAGACACTTCGCGTTCTCTCCATTCCATCCATCAATCCATTATTGAAATGGGTCGAGAATCTGGTGGACGCCTCTCTACTACCCTTCATGCGGTAGAATAATCTGCATTAACCTCCACAGCACATCTACTCCGACGTCTCATTGCCACGCCGGCATTCCCTGATCACTGCCTTACCCTGCCGATTGCTGGTCTTGTTGCAAGTTGTTGGCGTCATGGCCCAGGGCCAAGTCGTCGCAATGCCACACGCTCCAGCAGCGCCAGTGCCAGTGTCGCTGGCGGACGACGAGCTTCAACAGATTCATGAGTGTGAAAAGATACTACGATTTCGTGACGAAGTACTGTCTGGCTCTCATCCGAGAATCAAAGTCCCTGCCCATGTTGTAGCAGCCTCGAAGTCCGGCAGCAGTGAGCCACAGAAAACATCGTCGCCATCAGCCCAACCGCCCGATCTTTCCACCTCCAAGAATATAATATCGTCACAGACTACCACTTCTGGTCTGGTGAACGGGCATAGGGCCATGGAAAATAATGCGCAGGCCTTCCAGGCAAATGGGCAGCGACCGAGTGTTGGTGCGCCAGCGAATCTGCCAGGACTTGGGGCATACTCCAACAGTTCTGCCAGTTTTGCTCGTGATGCTATCACGCCGGCCACTGCATCGCAGCCGTTTGATTCTAGTCCTGGAAAGCCGGAGATTAATCCTATTCTGCTCCAAAAGTCTGATGAATTAATCAAGGCGGAAATCCAGCTGCAAAGACAGCGGCTCGAGCGTGCGTTGAGAGATGATCTCGATCAGCAGCGTGCGGCTACGAAAAACGCCCATGCTGAGCCCTTGGCCGACTTCGACCTTAAGGAGGTCCTGACGAAGTCCTTGGAACTCGTGCAGAAGAAAACTGCTGCTCCAGTCACTGATTCAAATCTAGCTGCTAATGCCAGCGGTGCCGACAGCGATTCGTTCGATGATAATACCTTCTATTCGAGCCGTCACGATACTCCCGAGTCGGTTCAAGTGTCCCGTATCCCAGAAGAGCCTGAGGATGTGGAGATGCAAGACGACTCGCAGTATGAACCTGAGTTGGACATCGACACAATTCCTACTCCAGGAGATGCGCACGCAGCTGTAGTACCTATCCCACCCCCTCCTGGCTTCGATGCGCAAGCTGCTGCCCATCAATACCTGCCCACTGCAGTCGCATCTCAACAGTACACTTCAACCAATATCCATCTATCTCTGGGCCCGCCAGCGCCGCATGGTGAGCTTACAAGAACGCAAGCGGTTCCTTTACAGGCTAGTTCCTCTCACGAAAGCGGCGAAGCAAGCCGATACGGAGAGTTCAGGCAGCTCGACAGTGCGCAGAATTCAGTCCAACGGCGCCTTGAGACTGTCAATCGTCAGCTGTTAGATGAGGCCTTCGCCCAGCAAATACCTCCTGTTCTCCGTGCTCATAACTTGTCACCCGTAGCACCTCAACCTGCTCATGTCTCCCCCCTTGCCACTTCTCGACAGCCTCCTATCATCGTTGATGACGAGACTGCCGTGGCGCGGGCAACTCCCGCTCAGGTCGCGGCACTCAGAAAAGACCCTGCAAGCGCATCTAGTCCAGAGAGCTCACCCCAGGGTAAGCCAACGCGAAAAGCGAGGAAAAAGAACAAAAGAAAAGCAGACCGCCAGGCAGCAGATGCCGCGGCGTCACCATACATCAAACCCGAGCCCAGGTCTCCATCACCTATGTCCGCTCCTCAAATGACCCGCCCGCAGAAACGCCAAAGACGATCTGGGCAGCAAGGTCAAGGCCTTGATTATGACGAGGTGCGATATGATTCACAGCCAGAAGGCGGGTACCAGGATCGGTCCCAGATGCGAATCTATAGAGAAGAGAGGGCTCCAGTCGTCTACGAGAGACAAGAGGGCTACTACATACGCCCAGAATCCCGCCCTGTCATTGTCACTGATCCACCACGATACGAACAAAGCCACTATGACGATCGCAAACCAGGAGAGGCTGTTCAGTATGTTCGACATGCACAATCGCCCGCCCTATACCCGACTCCACAAGCACCAAGTGAACCTCGGATTGTCAGGTCTGTCTCTCATGCTGTAGTGGACAGACCATATAGAGAAGCTCCTGTCTATTACCGGGATAGTCGGGAGATCTCTCGCGTGAGCCTGAGACCCGGAGCGGATCGTGAAAGGTCCCGCTCCCCTATCATGTACGACCCAAGGCAGGCAGCAATGGGTCCGCCCAGACCACCGCCTGCAAGGGTTGTAGTCGACGAGTTTGGTCGGGAGTACATGGAGCCTCCTAGACCAGTATCAACCATTGTCCGGCCATCGGCTCCCCCCCTGAGTCGCCCTGGCGAGCCCGAGGTTGTCTACGAGCGAACCGCGCCGATTCGTGCTACATCACGGATGCCAGGAGCGGATACTTTTGAACAGGATGGCGTTGTATACAGACGCGCATCTCCGACTTTCGCGGCTCCAAGGCGGGTGATAACGCAGCCAGAATATGGCAGCAATCCCGAATTTCGCACATACCGCGAGCGGGAGTATTCTGTTCGCCCCGTGCCAGGCCCGGGCGAGGACTACATGTCAAACCGGGCACCTGTCGAGCGGCGAGTGCTCGAGGAACCGCCTCGGGAGTATATCACGCGTGCGGCCAGTGTACGACCCGTTGCAGAGCCTATTAGATATGAGGTCCCCAGGGAGTACGGAGCGCGGCCGCAGAGTGTGCGACCCGAGCCTATTCCACGGGATTATGCTATCAGCGTCCACCCTGACGTACGCCGCGAGGTCATTCACCCCGCGCCGCGCGAATTCAGCGTTCGCCCCGGCGAGCCGCCTCAGATTATCCGTCGGGAATACAGTGTGCGGCCAGTGGAGCAGCCTTATTACGAACGTCCGGTCAGAGGGGATGAGGACTTGGCGTATGTTGAGAGGCCGAGCCAGGGTGTGATTTATCAGGGAGGGCCTCCGACATATCGGTAGTAAGTGAGTACGCTTCAGGTACTCGGGCCCATGAACAGGGCGGAGACAAGGCCATGACATGGTCAGACTCCGTGACGTTTCGATACACGAGAGGACGGCATGTCGTTCCAATATGGAGAGTAGGAAGAGGGGTAAACATGAATCTTCACGAGCTAAGCATTGGCGTTGGGGCCTAGGAGTTTAGCTGCTTTCAACTAGACTCGATAGCTTTAGACGGGCATCATGGCAAATTGTAATGTACAAATAGCTTCAGCATCAGCATCATAGGGAAGGAGGGACAACGAGAAAATGCAAGACAATTTGTGGTTCTGTCATACTCTTGCTATGCAGTACTATTTGATCCGCGAAGCTTAGATGCTAGTGTTCGGGTGATATGCTCCTGTAGCCTCCTCGGCGGGGAGAGCTTTGGACAGCGGGGGGGGAGGAGAGGCTCCAATTCATGAGGTCATGCCTCGCAGCCGGAGATCTAGCCCTCGAATCCTTTCTACTTAGGGCCGGATCCAAGGACACACCTAACGGCCAGGGCTACGAAAAAAGGCGGGTGATAGTCAGGGGACCTTTCTAACAATGGAAATGAGAGACTGGGGAGAAGCTCTGTTCGAGCATTGGTGTAATAGCCTTGGTCGCGTGAAGCTCTTCTCGCAGGCCACAGCCAAGGGATGCGATGTTGCCGCAGCGGGCGCTCGGAGACTTTCCTGTCACTTGGATCGTTTCCTGTTGGTCTGATGGGGGAGCGCAACCAAACGCGGCTTGTGTGAGGGGGGCAATTGCGAACATGTTGGGACGAAAACCCTGGCACGTACGGGAGAGAGATTTGTACACGTACAGTAAGTACAGTATGAAATATTACGGAGGAGTGAAGTGTCCGTTGTTGCGGCCTTTAATTGCAGCTCTTCAAGCATCTTCCATCCGTCATTCGAATGGGGGCGCCTTTTCGGCTCCAGCTCGGCTCTAGTTCCCTCCCACGTCAAGTCAAGCCAGGTTGAGTCCCGTCAGGGCTAAGACCTATCTATCGTGCTATAATCAAGGCGGGAAGCACCAGCTCGGCGGCGGGCGGTGGGAAACAGATCGACCGTCTTGGATAACATATACCTGCTCCCTGGAAGTGCTATTATAGGTACCTATGGAGGCAATCATCACCTTATGCCGCAGGCGGGCTCTTATCCGGCTGATATAGGGCCTGGGATCCGTGTGGAAGTGTAATAACCAAACAATGGAATGAATGGCCTGGGGCAGCGGGCAGACGGGGAACGGGACTAATGTGGTGAGCACACCCTCTCGAGACGAGCGATACGCTGGCCTTTCGGTTTCGCTTATTCATTAAGACGGATTCCCCGTACCATACAGCTATTGCCGTGTCTGCCCCAGGTTTCTGGTGATGAAGAGGCGGCCAGCAGCAGGCTGTGCAGTAGTTGGAGGAGGAGACCTGCAAAGGTAAGGACGGCGACAGACGGGCCTAGACATGCCTTACATCGTCGGCAGTGTCATTGATGGATGGACGGTGCGATGGATGGCTTGCTGTGGATGGTCGCTGACGTGCGTCAATTGCTAGCCTTAACATTAGCCCTAAAGGAGGTGGGGGAGGAGCTTCTTTGGTGCAAATGGGCGGCGCCAGCTCTCCAATGCACGGCACGTGTGAGGATGCCGTCCACCGCCCCGATGAGAGGCTGTCCGCTTGGGTGCACAGCATATGGTGGACTAGCCAACCTCAAAATGATTGAGAAAGAAGGAGCAAAATAGGTGAGTGGCCAAGGGATGAGAGTCTTCCCCTATGTTTGTCTGAAAAAAGTTTGCGAGCCTGAGCCTTGGGCTGGCTGGTGTCTTAGACACCGGGAAGGGCATAAGGTGTGTCTGGCTGTCGTGGCCGGGTGCCCGCAGTGCAGGAGACGTCATGAGCTGAAAGTTCAGATCTGAAGCACATATCTTGATGACCTGGGTATTGAGCAGGACTTATGAATGCTTGCTAGCAGCAGAAGCATTCAGCCATGAATCTATCTACTCGTAATGTCATTAAGGACCTGTCTCCTCCTCGTCGTCCTCCTCATCGTCGTCGTCGTCGTAGTAGTAGTGTCTTAGCTTGCTAGACAGAAAGCATATCGAGATTCGAGGCATGGCCCGGCCCAGGGGCCCGCAGATAGACATACCTAGGTACTTCTCATACTCACTACTGCTGCACAGAGCCATGTAGCTCTGCCGGCATGTTTACCAGACATGCGAACGCACGAAACGAACGAACGCGACTACCGTTGGTAATGACCCTTTGACGTATTGAAATTGCTGGAGGCAATTACTGCGTAGGACAATGCTCGTAACTTGGCCCATTGGTCTCTGACGCGAACCACCCATGGCCGCGTGGTGGACCAGGACATTGACCATTTTGTGGCCGTGCAAAAAAAGGCTCCATCTCTGGGGGGTGGGCCCCCCAGGCTTGCTTTCCTGGTCTCCCGACTGGACTGGAAGAGCAAGTTGGGCCTAAGTTAGTAGGAAATGTCTGTCTCGATCCAGTCGAGCACATAACATGTCACGTCACAAAGCAACCTGAAGTAGCCGGTAGTACTGAGTAGGTATGGCAGCTAAGTCAGGATAGCTCGGATCACTCACTCAACGGCTGGCGTGTAGCAGCATCAAACCTGTACATGCAGGACATTGTAGACAAGGATAAGGATAAGGCATCGAGCCTGATGTCCCAACCGACCTCTGAATGTAGATGGACGTGTTTTTGCTGATGACACGAGGAGTTGCAGGAGAACCGAAGACACGCTGTGCAGGGGGCTGCTTACTATACGTCCGATGGGATCATGGATCACGCCTACATACGACGACCTTGGAAGGGCCCAGGACAGGCATTGAGTCTGGGATTGCTTGAGATGAAGAAAAGACAGAGAGAGAGCAACCTGGAAGCCGAAGCCCAGATACGCGTAGCATGGGCGGAGTACCATCCCTGCAAATCATACACGTTGGATACATCTAATGCAGATTGAGCTCAGCTCAGCTCGCCCACTCATTCGCCCGTCCCATCACTGCATTCCAGGGCACCTTCGAGGCCGCCAGCCAGCCTGCATCTCAAAGGCCTCTCTTTCCTCGATACAGTAGGTACTGTAATGAAAAGAGGCGCCATCCTTGTCCGTAACCTGATGCTTGGCCCGAGCGCTGCTCTCCGCCCCAACCCACCCAAGTGCCAGGGCATGCGAGGGCCTCTCGGTGCAGCTTAGTCCTTGGCTTGGGCTAGGTACAGTACCCTGGCAGGTTAGGTCGAGTTAGGCCAAAGGGAAAGAGAGACAGAGGGGAGAGACAGAGCATATCGTAGCTTGCGTTGCCGTTGCCGTTACTCGAGCTGGTTGGCTGCAGAAGAACTGAGAAACGGGGACTGGAAGTGGGAAGACGACACCTAATAATAATCAAGAGTGAGTGGCTCGAGTCGAGTTGAGTGGGTTTTCGCTAGACGTGGTGCGTGGTGCGTGTGCCGTTCCCTGGCCCCGTTCGTGCGTTATGTGTGTGCGTGTACTCTATCTATGCATGCGTGCGTGTGGGCGGGCGGGCATGCGATCAGCTCCATCCCACCAAACCAAAAGCCAAGCTGCTGCTGCACTAACCAACGCCCACTGGGGACTGGGCCCTACTACGCTGCGCTACCCATACCTACCCTCCTACCCTCCTACCCTCCTACCGTACCATACCGGTACCTTAGTCCCCTATTGCCGGCCCTGCCCTGCCCTGTTCTGACCTCAGGTGTTCTGGCTGGGCGGGCGGGTTGGCTGGGTTGGCTGGGTCCAGTCTCTCTGATTCCATCCTTCTGTCCACCTCTATCTATCTCGTTCTGTTCTGTCTTCGTCCACCTTTACACACCCTTTCCCCTCCTACCTACCTACCTACTCCCACCTTCTCCTCCTCCACCAGTCCATCACCATTACGACGAGGTCTAGGAAGGAAGAGAGAGCACACGACAGCCTCTCTTTTCTTCTTTCTTCTTTTTTCATTTCCCTTCCTACTCTGCCTGGCGAGTCTTTTTTCCTTCTCCCCCCCCTCCATCTTGTGTGTGCGTGTGTGTGTGCATTCTACCCGTCCCTTTGCGTGTCGTTCTTTTCCTCCCGGCTCCCCCGCGTCCGCTCCTCACTCTCCCAACGCCTGGCCCGTTCACATCATGAATAAGCTTGCAAACATGCGTCACTGGTCCGAGAGGATGAGTCCCAACTTTGGCATGTCGTCGCGCCCAAACATGCCCATGGCTGCCATCAACCCTCATCAGAAGGTCACTCCGCAAGGCGCACCGCCGATAGCTCCCCCGCAGGCCGCTGACTCGTTGATCCATTACTCCTTCAACATCCCCTTCGCTTCCGACCTGACCGGCCCCAACACCGAGGACATTCTGCATGCTACCACCGATGCCGTGCTGCGATGGACACACCCCGCCGAGGCCCCGGACGACGTCCCCGTCTACGAGTTGCCCGTCCATGCCGAGAACCTCACCAACCTGCGGATGATGTGTAAGAGCATATCCAACAGCGGTCTGCCAATTGAGGCTCATGCCATCTCTACGACCCCCAAGCATGTAAAGGGACAAGTGACAACCGTCTGCCTCTCCGGCACCCCAGACATGGTCTATCGAACTCGGGACTCTATCCTGAACGAGACGCCGCTGTCTCTTGTAAGTTCTGGCTGCCCGTTACTACGTGGCCGTCCTCTTAGCTAAATGCCTCCAAAGCGCTGCACAACTGTAGATATAGATGGTGATATGGTTGCCGATCTCAGTGTAGGCACTCTAAAACGGGCGGTTACGGACACTCTCGACACCATCTCCGAGTACTGCGGTGTGGACATCTTTCTGCTCGGCCCCAAGCTGACGCCCGTCGTTGACGGTCTGAATGGCGACGTGGAGATCCGGAGGGACCAACGCTGGAGAGTTGCCATCTACGGCGATATCCTGTCCACGGAGCACGCCAAGACGCGTGTTCTGATCCATATCGACAGAATGGTGTGTGCAATCAGCCAACCTGGGGCGGGGAGACGATGCTAACTGCCGTACAGCTTGGCCGAATCGTGGACGCTTTAAAGTGCGACTTTACTGTCCATCAGCTCATCTGTGGCCGCAACAGGAAGAACATAAAATTGCTAGAGTCGACTACTTCGACTGCTATCTACTTCCCTCCTCCGTTCTCGCAGATCTTCCGGTACTGCCCCAAGAACGCAAAGCCCCGGGATCCCCACGAGATTTTCATCACAGGAGACAGCCCACAAAACATTGAGCTCGCCAAGATTAAGCTCCACGAGATGCTCTCCCGAATCCGCCTCTTTGTCAAGGACGTGGTGATTCCCTCGGAGAAAATCGACAGTATCTTGCTGAGCCGAATGGACAAAGTTCGGAAAATCATCGAGAGCAACGGTACCTTTATTGTCTTCCCACCTCTCGCTTCTAGGCAAAGCACGGTTCGGATTCAGGCAACTGAGAACCTACACGCTGAGCGCACCGCTCGTGAGCTGATGGCTCTTGTAAGTGTATAAGAGACATAAAAATGGTCTGTAAAGCTAACAAGAAAATCAGGTCGGACAATTTTACAGCGGGTTCTGGGCCATTGCTCAGCCAGATGGTCGAAGACTTCCAGAGGACAATGATATCAGAACCATGCTTGGCGATATCTGTGCCAACTCTGATGCCGACATCTCATTCCAGCGACTCTCTTTCACCATCACCGGATCGGATGACGCGGTAAAGGCGGCCTTGATGGTTCTCTCGCAAATAAGATTTGTGGCACAGTCACAGTACACGATCAGGGTGAAAATTGAGCTTGCCAACGAGCACAAGGAATTTGTCAGCGGAAAGAAGAATGGCAAGATCAACAAGATCATGGGTCAGAGTAAGGACACGCTACTTCATCCGGAAGAAATCTGTATTAACACCTGTATTAGGCAATGTGCAAATCATGTTCGAAAATTTCGGTGAATATAACTTCAACATCGATGTCAACGCTACTTCGTACGAGTCCATGAAGCAGGGCTTGTCCCTGGTGGAGCAGGAGATGCCAGCCTCAATCTCTTTCCATGTACCTGACCAGTATCACAAACGTATCATTGGTATCGGTGGACAGCATATCCAGCGAATCATGAAGAAGCACTCCGTCTTCGTCAAGTTTTCCAATGCCATGGACCGTGGCGGAATGGGCCGGGAAGATGATGACAGCCGCGTGGACAATGTTATTTGCCGCACACCAGCTCGCAACGCCCAGAATCTCGAGCTTGTCAAATCGGAGATTCTCGAGATGGTCGATCGAGTTGTAAGCTTCCACAGATTTTTCTGATCTCATCAAATCGCTAATGTTGTGCAACGTAGGACTCCGAGTTCACTTCGCAGATTGTCAACGTTGACCGCTTGTACCATCGCCAGCTTCTTGCCCGTCTCCCGGAGATCGAGGTTTTGGAGAAAAAATGGAACTGTAAAATTGTATTTCCCAGCACCGAACAGGCTAGTGACGAGGTCACTGTCACCGGCCCACAGTGGCAGGTGCCGCAATGCGTTGACGAATTCTTGGTAAGTTCGGGTTGGTTTGACAGTCGTGAATTCTGCTGACCTATGAACAGGGCATGGTTCCTGACAACCATGAACTTGTTTTGAAACGCACACCGGAATTGATCAAGTACCTCGAATCTCCCGAGTTTGCCCACGATCTTGTGCCCAAACTCAAGGCTCAACACGAGGTGGAGGTTACTGTGCATCAGAATGCTGAGGAAGTTACCGAAGACAATGGTCCAACGGTTACTCTGCTATGGACCTTCACTCGCAACAACGCAGGCGGTCTGCGGGACGCAATCGACTTCCTTCAGGGCCAGTTTGCCACCGCCGCTGTCGAGACCACCGTGGTGAAAGGCTCTCTCCCTAGGCCCAAGTCCGATACATTCGAGGAGTCTCTTCAGTACTTCGACTCCAAGTTGCTTCAACACGCACCTGCGCCGGTGGGGACCGATTCCCCCACAAAACCCGGATTTGGTGATGAAGTCGCTCGTGAGCGGAGCACGATTTTCGACAGGCTCCGGAAGCCCGGAAGCATGTCATCTATCTCATCTTTCCTGGACCGCAGAAAGAATAGCTCTCACTCTGCGAACAACTCCTTTTTCAAGGGGTCGAGCAATGTCTCCAAGTCATCGCTCATTTCCATCGAATCCACTCGCAGCTTCAATGCTGACCGCAACCCGTGGAACGATAGCGGGGTGAATCTTCCCGAGGAGGATAACCCGTGGTTGCCTCGCCACCACATCAAGGGCGTGGATCACAATTTGCACCCAAACAGCATCACTCAGGCAGGTGATGCTACACCGCGTCACAATACCCGACAGTCCGCTGATAGCGGTCGTCCTTCGACGTCTCATTCTACAAATTCAGGATACCCCGGTCCAATTGGACCTTTCCGTTAGATTCCCCGCTTAGAAACTACGAAAATACCCCGGCTGGATATACCCTGGCGTACAATACCCCGGTAGTCTCTTGTGCATTTGGTCGGTTGTTTCGTCTTTTTCATTGATCTCTGATTTCCTATATTTCCTTACAGTTTCTATATCTATGTCTTATCATGAATCATGTCCGCTCCATTGCCTATACCCATGACTTTGAGGCATTGATCAACACGTCTGTGCGAGAGCCAGACTTTGAGTCATGCCATGGTGCGGTGGATATGTCCAGGATCAAAGACAGGAAAAAATCACAGAAGGGGAAGCTTGCTGAAACCTTCTTACAAAATGGCGTTGCAGTTTAAAGGTCCGTTGTTATTACTACTGCTTCCATCTATACCAATGTCTTTTCTCGTCCATCGATTCGCTCGCATACAACAACAAAAGCATGTTGCCAAAAGTTTTGAGATATCTCCTGGCGGAGCAGTCGTCGCTCTATGGCAGCCGGAGGCAATATTAGTCGGTGACGCAACGTCATAGATGATGATGATATCAGAGGATGCGGAGCATATGGAAGTGCGGTAGGGATGGACGGACAGGGAAAGCGAGGAGACGATGGCTATCTGGCAGAAATATAAATGATACCCTTGGTTTGGTCACATATTCACTGAGACTTCACTGCGTTGCGACTGTGAGAACTGTTACTGATACTGACCAGTTTTCGTTTTTGATGTTGTACCTAACCGGCCGAAGAAGCTATCAAGTGATCATTCATGGCATACCCTTTTCCATCGCAACTCCAGAGGTCCTCCCCTACACAAAGAACGCCAAAGCAATTTCCTAGGTCCGTGATCGTGTCCATCATTCAAAGCTTCTTCTTTCCAACCGGCAGATTCATCGCCGTGTACAGGCGCCAGTCCTGAGTCTTCAAGGCCTGGGCCTTCAGCTGCTCACGCTCGGTGTCGCTGATATTCTCGTCGTCGCCTTTGTCAACAGGCTGATTCACGCGCTTGAAGCCGGGCGGAAGCTCAGGTCCAAACACCGGCTTGGAAGCGGGAGCGGCAGTGGCGGCAGGGGCAGCAGCAGCAGAGGGAGCGGCGCGCCAGTCTCGGTTCTCCTTCAGGGCGTCCTTGACCTTGTCGGCCTGCTTCTCCACATCGAGCTTGTCGACGCGCATCTTGGCGAGCACCTTCTTCTTGTCCTGCTCCATGATGCGCTCCGAGCTGATCTTGATCTGCTTCATCAGGTCGTCGTACTGCTGCTGGGAGGTGCGGGCGTCGCCGGCCGCCTGGCCGCCGCCGGCGCGGTGGCACTGGGTGCAGTTCAGCTCGGCCTTGGTCGCCTCGGGGCCGGAGCGGCACTTGAACCAGCCGCCGTACTTCTGATGCTGCGGGTGCGGCCAGCCAGGGTCCGCCTCGTGCCAGTTCTTGTCGAACTTCTTCTTCTTGCCGTGGCCGTGCTTCTCGTCGTCGATCTCGGTGAGCAGGCGGTACATCTTGTTCAGCAGCTCTCTGTAGCGGTCCTCGAAGTCGGCCGAGCGCAGGGCGACGCGGCCCGACTTGTCGAGGTCGTAGAACCAGTCGGGGATCAGCGCGGACGGGTGCTGCGGCTGCTCGTCGAAGGAGTCCTTGCGGTGGGTGGCGCGCTGGCCGGCCTTGCCCTGCTCATACATCTCATCGTGCTTCTGCTTGAGGTTGGGAGCGCGATTCAGGCTCATGTGAGGGAGAGATGCGGAGCCCGGGGCGAGGCTGGAGGCACCAGCGTCGTCCGGACCGGACATCTGGTTCTGCGGCTTGAGGTTCATGGGCAGGGGCTTGGCCGGAGGGAGAGCAGCGAGGTGAGCCATGATCTCCTCCTTGGTCGGGCCGATGCCGCCCTTGTTGAACTCGAGCGCGCCGGTGACGTAGCCCTCGGCCTCGGCCTGGCGAATCTGGAGGCGGTTGGCCAGCGTCGCGAGCTCGCCGTCGGTGCGCTGGGCGCGCTGCTTCAGAACTCTCTCCGCATCGTTGTAGCTGCCGGACGGGGTGTTGGGCTTGGCGTCCCACAGCTGCTTCAGCTGCGCGTGGACGTCCTTGGACTCGGCCCACTTGTCCTGCGCCTTCTGGTAGATGGCCTCCTTGGCCTTGTGCTCCTCCTGGATGTAGTCGACGATATCCTCGCACTTCTTGGTGTGGTCGTCGAGGGCGCCGGTGATCTCGAGGCCCTTCATGCCCTCGGCGAGCTTGCGCTCGCTCTCCTGGCGGGCCTTCACCACGCCGTCAGTGTAGGGCGGGAATGTGGGCTCCATGATGTTGAAGTTGGGGTCGGCGACGGTGAGAGATGGGTCGCCTGGGGGTGGGGGAAGAGTGAAGTCGTTGGATCTGATCTCGCTGACCTTGGTAGGTGAGGAATTGTGCTGGACGGACTCTGTTTCCTAATCAGAGTGCGAAGCGTCAGGGCTGGCGAGCTCGGCGTACTCCTCCCAGGTCTTCTTTTTAGAGGCAGCGACAAAGTAGGAGCTGTCAGGGTCAAATCCACCAGGGGAGGAAAGAAGATGAGAGCGGTTGGGGTCTTGGGGTGACGTGACAGGCGCTCCCTCGTTGTGATGTCCGGGAGTAGCTGGTGCCGGAAGGTGAGAGATGGTCTCAGGGCTTTTGGGAGACGCGGTTGACGCGTTTTCCTGCTGGTGCTCTTCGGTTGGCAGCTGGTTTGGACGCTCGAGAACAACGCCGTAGGCGAGGGGATGCTGGTCCTCGTACTCGGACGACTCAGTGCCCGAGTCGCAGGGGGCATCTATGTCATCACCCTCTGCACGGGGAGAGTGCTTGCTGGACGGCACGGTCACCGTGCTTGGGCCCGGGCTGGAAGCCATTATCTGGAGCGTGAAAAGTTGGTTGGAGATGGGTGTGAATAGGAGAAAAGGGGAAAAAAGCTGTTGTCGTCGAGATTGGTGGGCAAAAGTAGTTTGTTGTTGACGACACTGGCTAGGTGGGTAAAAGTGAGTGATGTTGGGGGAAAGGGGATGAGTGGAGCACGAATCTGGAAAGCACAGAAAATGACAATAAAGATCTTCATTTCTATATGTCTATGAGCTTGGAGAGGGATGCAGCTTAGCGTGATATTGATGAGTGGCGAATTATTGTGATATGAATATCAGAATCCATTCACTGAGTCTCTATGGGGCAGCAGTCCTACTCTGAAATTAGATCTAAGTGAATATGATCACAGATGTGAGTGGATAGGAAGACCTCTATTCAGCTTTAACTCAAATGCATCAAAGATGAGTTGGGTTCTATGTAAAACAAGTCAGAAGAATATAAGTCCTTCTTCTCATGCAACACCCTCCATGGAGTAGATCCCATATTGGAAACATGATTAATGAATTAGGAAACCCGTCCTAGTAAAGTGATGAAATCCCTCTCGTCCATGGTTATCACAAATACAAATGCCTGACTGTTATAGTTATAGCTGAACTGAGGGGTATCAAATGATATTTATAGAATGAATCGTTCAATATTGATACAGATGAGATTCAGAAAGGGCTCCTCACAATTGCTTCATCCTTGTACAGGCCCAACAGCCACACGCTCGCGAAGTCTTCTAGCCTTTGCCTGCTCTAGGACGCTTTCTTGGCGGTTTCTTCGTTTCTTATCGGCTTCCAACCCTGCAAATCTCCCTCTCGCGCCGTGTTTTATTTTCGTAATCATGTCTGCAGCTTTGCCTTTAGTTATGTCTGCTACTGTGAGAGGTTCTTCTCCAGCTCGAAGCTTGTTCAAGAACTCGAGCTGGCCATCTGTTGGAGGCCCATCACGCCAGCGCTGCCGCCTAGAGATGAAAGTAAACGGGAATATATCTGCTGCGTACTTGTCGCTGCCGTGCACAGCATCAGCGAATGTCATTGCTTTCAGGATTTCTCGCGGCGCAGCAAAGGGAGACTTCGATATGCCTGGTGGGAGAGCCCTAACTTCATGGACCTTGAAGACAGCGGATCCAGGCGGTGGATCGGGCATCCGCTCAAGTCTCAGGAAAGTCCCTGTAGGCCCACATAGGATATATCGATCAGGATTGACCTGCACCCAAGCATTCCGGCTGATGGAACGAATGTGCTTTTCTCCAGATGTATCAGATATCAGATCGAAGACCGAGTCGTATTCAGTAAAGGTGACTTTCCTTGGAGATGCATCGGTGCTGTTTGATGCCTGTTCATAGGCCTGGCCATGTCGTTCTGCCTCGGCAGTCTTTCTGTCCCTTATATTGCGCATCTCATCCACTGATACGTTATTCAGAAGTTCTCCGGGATCAAGACCGAACAGGGTCGGTGTGGTTACAATGCCAGTCTCGAGGCTTGAGACCATGTCGATAATGTGGCAATTTTCCTTCCCAGGAAACAATCTCATGCCTCTGCCAATCATCTGAATCAGGAGATTCCGAGATTTGGTTGGCCGAGCCAGAACAACGCAGTCGATGTTGGGGATATCTGTGCCTTCGGTAAAAACGCCGCAGTTTACCAAGACGGGGTACTCCTGTCGTCTAAATGCGCCCAATAGATCGCTTCTTTCGATATCTGGAGTATCTCCGGTCACGAATCTGGCGTCTATGCCATGTTGGCGAAATTTTTGAGTAAGTCCGGTAACATGACGAAGATCCACGCAGAATGCCAGCGTCGACTTCCTCCCAGTGGCCTTTGCAAGCCAACTACGCACTATGATCTCGTTGATCTCGTCAGTATTGACCGCGCGAGAGAGGTCTCCTTGTTGATAATCCCCTCCTTTCCCCAAACTTCTAACACGGGAGAGGTCGGCCGTTGACTCTACTGTGGTGAAAATCACGTCAGACAGCCACTTTCCCCCAATCATATCCACGTAGTCCTTGTGGTAGACTATCTCGTCGATAGCTGCACCAAGCCTCAAGCCATCGAAGCGTGAAAATGTGGCGGAAACTCCGACTAGATTAGGCGAGTCTGCTCTCTTGGTAGAGACGCCAAAATGCCCTAGGATCCTCATGTATCCTGGAGCTACAATGTGATGAGCCTCATCAACCAAAACTAGTTTGAACCTTTTCGGGTCGAACTTGGCAATTCGATCGCCAGACGTGATACTCTGCACGCTTGCAATGGTGATATCTGCAAACCCACTTGCATGCATCGATCCCATTTCCACCTCCACACGCTTGTCGGGATAAGCATTGACGCAGTGCTTGGCGGCTTGCTCAACGAGCTCTCGACGATGAGCGAGAATTAGAGTCTGAGATGCATGGGCTGATTCTGGCTTAATTCTATCGATCAGCTGCGTGAAGATGACCGTCTTTCCAGCTCCAGTCGCTAGCGAAATTCCTAGTCTCTTGTGGCCGTTGGCCAAGGATGTCAAGACAGCTTGAATGCATTCTTCCTGGTAGTCGCGAAGGCGGATCCTTTCACTGGTAGAGGCGAAACGGTTCCTGCTATCGGCAGTAATTCGATGGGGCTGGAAAATAACGACGCGTGAGGCACGCGGCGTAATACGCCGGGTCGTGACCCAGATGCGCTTCACGAGAGGTCGTAGCATGGCACATTGCTTGAGATTGACGATGGTGAAATGTGCTGAGGTCTCCAGCTGTATCAGCATTGAATCTTGATCACCTGGAGCTAAGGTGGACAACTACGGCTAGCGCATATCCCCACAGCGCCGCCTTCAGCCTCTTGACAGTTTAAGCACGGCTTCTATTGGCCTGATTTTAGTGCTTCAATACTGGAAATCACGGTCCTCAGCGCTAAAGTACCCAATCTAGCATCCTAACCTTTAGCCTCACACGACAGAACGGCATCAGAACTTAGTAAGCTATCCTCCAGGACGAAATTTTGCTCACATCGCTTTCAGATGGTAGCATACCATATTTCATTTCTCTTTCTTTAATTGGCATTGCTTAAATCCGTCAAATCAAGGCCATTTCTCTTACAGCAAGAAGCGACATGAAGGATCATGTCTTCGTACGAGTATTCAGACGAGTCTCAGGTGAAGGAAGAGAATCACTCGTCAGACGATGATCCAAGTTACTCCGGAAACCAGACTCATGAGTTTCAAGATGATCTGAAGGGCAGCATATACGATGCTAACGAGCAAATCCCGGTGTCGCTTCAGTCATCCGACAGCGAATATGCACCATCAGACACAGCTCACATTTCTGAAGCAGCCGAATCAGACCAGTCCGTTTTTGATGAGCAGGACAGCTACGACAGATCGCGGTCACCAAGGAAAAAACGAGCTCTATCTTCTCTCAAGGGTGACAATGACGAGCGACGACCCTTGAAGCGCGCAAAAGGGACATTTAATCGAGCATATTTGGATCTCCTCAACATCGACATTCAGGATGCTGCAACTCAGTACATTTCCGATGATGGAAGGATGACCTTGCCGGCTTCTCAGATTGGCCTCATTGCTTGGACTTCAGCCGAGAAGGAAATTTTCTTCGAGTCTCTTAGTCGCTTGGGTCGAGATAATGTCCTGGGTATTGCCAGTCGCATCCGTACGAAAGGAGTAATGGAAGTTAGACAGTACATGAAGCTCCTCGATGACGCACTCGTACAAAGAAAACATCACGCGCTTGCCTCGCTCGAGCTAGCCGACTTCCCTGCAGCAGTGGAGATAGGCGAAGAATGTTGTGACCTTCTAGAAGATGCCGCCGATTCACTGGCGCGCAGGCAGGAGAACCACGAGGAAGCTGTTGAGCGGCAGAAATGGGGAGATGACTTTCTTCTCACAACAGAAAACTACGAAGAACTTGAGAAAGACGACGGACAAGAGCATCATTCCAGTGCACTAAGCGTTTTCGACTTACCGATGTGGCTGAAATTATCAGAGACAGTGTTCATGAACTCCGGTCGAGACGAGAATAACTGGCAGTCTATCTCCAACGAACCGCCGTCCATCAGACTAACTGCTCTGGAGGATTTCTACTCGTTAGTCGTGTCCGTCACGACGCGACTGCTGGACTCTGCGTCATACATCGCAGAGTCGCGCATTCGGTCCAAGAGAGTCCTATACCCGACTAGAACTAGGAATCTTGTCAAGCGAAAGGACATGGAAGCAGCCATTGCTTCCTTGGGTCTTAGATCCACCAGAGCAGATTTCTGGGGGAAATGTCCCAGGCGTCTTGGTTTGAACGTCCACGAGGAGAAGCCACATTACAAGGATACACTAACCGAACCTATCCCCTACGACGATGTCGAGCAAGCTCTTGGAGTCAAGGAGGACGTATTCAGGGCTCATCATCAGTGGGATGGCAGTTCTATATCCTCGGACAGCTCCATCTCTGACGCTACAGGAGGGGAAGATACTGCCGCAGCGGACGATAAATCCACTGCTTGGGACAGTGAAGATGAAGAGTTCAGGGATGAAGCGAATGAAGTCCTTTTGCACTCGGCAGTAGACAGGCCACAGACCACGAGGGAAAAGGAGGCTCTCATATCGAGAATCAAGGCAGAGCGTGAGCAGGAGGCGTACGCTGAAGCGGTGGATGTCCATGCCACTTACAAGGAAGAGAAGCGAATGTGGCTTCTCCAAGGCAAGGAGCCTTCTGAGCCACTACGGAGGCCTACAATCCCGGAGACTGGTCGGAGGTCGAAGGCATCAGTCGGTGATGTGTACTCTGCTGGGCAGGACTGGCGGCAGAATTTGCAGTATGTCAGCGAGTGGGAGCACGATGTGGATCTGTGTGGCTAGACAGAGTGACGGAAGACGCATTTTGTATTCTATGATACCCAAGACTTTTATGTCAAATAGATAAAGCTGCTATCTAATGTAGCTGCTGTCATCGATAACTCGCGATCTTATATGCCACTTCCAAAGATGTCATCCTTCCTAGTTTTTCTCTCCCATACAATAATACCGTCGCTCTTTCTCTTGAAGTATAGAATACGATGTTGCGGAATGAACTCTTCATCCGTCTGTTCGCTCTTCCACGTGTCAAGGGCTTTCTCTTGGGCGCCAATGAACCGATCCTCGTACCCAACAATGAAGTCTCCGCTATCAAGGCTCGAATCCCATCGGAGACGGTTTAATACGTCAGCTGCTGTTCTGAATTTTCCGGCACCAGCGGGCTTCGGGACTACTCGTGCCTGATTTTGCTGCTTCTTGCCTCTCTTAGTCTTCTTGGTGGATGATCCCTCACGCCCACTGCCACTCTCCTCCATCGGGCCGTCTTGTTCCTCATCCTCCTCCTCCTCCTCCTCCTCTGAATCGTCATCGCCGGGATTATACTCGCCCCAGTCTCGGTCATCAAGTGTTAGGTCACCCAGCTCGGCCTGTTTGACGATGGACGCGCTCATCCAAGACGATTTGGCGTCAAAATACTTCTCATCGCCCCGGATCTGCTCCTCAAAGCGGCCAAGAATGGTCTGTAGCGTTCCAACGGCGATCTTGAGATCATCTTTGGTCATGCTATCGTCCAATTTGTCTAGTCCAATGAGGTAAGATCCTTGATAATCACCCGTCTCAGTGCTCGTAGACTCGTCAACGAACCGCGCAGGCCAGATCCTCGCATGTATGTTAGGAAGTCGTCTGTTGATGTCGACAAGGACCATAACACATCGAGATTCCAGCCATCCAACAAAGGAGCTTCCTTTATTAAGAGAGACACCCCAGTACTGAACTGTGATCTGGACGTAGCTCTTATATGACTTGAGAAAGTCAGTTGCCCCGGTGGTCAGACGCATTCCAGGCTCGACACTAGCTGTCCCAGCGAGGAACTTCGACCAAGTCATTCCGTCTTGCGACAGAAGTCTGTTTGCACGTTGCAATTCTTCTGCAATGGTTCTTACTGAGGGGAGAGATGCGGCTTTTGTAGTTGTTAGCATTGGTGTGTGGAAGCCGAGAATCGCCAGAGGCTCCCTTGGTGTTCGTGTGTATTGAAGCCTCTGTCTATGGAAGAAAGGATCAAACGCCATCTTATGCTGCCAATCAAAGACTGCATAGTGGCTGAAGAACGTTGTGAGGATATCGGCGACTGAATGTGATGGTGCATCACGGGCAAGGAATTTGCAAACTCGAATTAGCAAGATTGTGATCGGGAAACCACCGAGATATCCCCATTTTGACGAATAGATGCCACGAGAACTTGCCCATGTCTTGATGAATCGATGTGCAATGCGAAACTTGACGAGGTCTGGGATGGATCTCCGGACGTAGTCAAGATCGCGAATTGCCTTCAGCTTTCCAAGGGTTTGAGACGGCAATGTCCAGATGGGGTCTGAACTAGGGAGCTTCATGACATCTGGCCATTGCTCTGCAACTCGTGTTGCACCGCAATACTGTAGGTCCATTTTGACTCCTAGTACTTCCAACTCAAGCATTGTCCCAGAGTGCGCCTTGACGCGCCGGAGAAGCTTGATGCCTTTGTCCGCCGCCTTCCGAAGTCGGTGACTTGCCAAAGCAAAAAAGGTATTCGCACTGACGGGACCGATGCAAAGGCAGTCAATGTCGGAGGAAGAAGTCCATACGCCGAGCCCATATGACCCAACTGGTGTGATGATGAAAGGAGCGTTGTATCGAGATGAGACATCGTTAGCGCTTGAGTTTTCCAGGATGACCTTCCCTAGAAGTTCGAGAGCAGATTCTCTCATTCTGACTTCTTCAACCTCGGGAAGACATCCAAGATGCTGAAGACTCTCCTTGAGGGATCTCACATCTGCTAGTGCACCTGTCGCCGCCTCTAGATGGACTGGAACGACTTGACTGGCTATATCGTTTGAGAGTTGCTGGCTCGTTTGATTGCCAATTTTCAGAATACATCGAATGCCCCAGTGGTCGCTTGCAAAGTGCGTTGATTGTGACTTTGTTGTTGATCCAGTCTCCTCAGTGATGAAACCGAATTTGTTGAACCGGGAGACTTTCAGTAGCCCCTCGCCCCTGACGAGGATCCTATCGTAGCGTTGCGGTCGCATGTTGAAACCACTGCCAACGATACTTTCTGCAAGGGTGTTGACGGTCGGATCGAATGTTGCCCCCTGTTCTCCTTCGAAGACATTTTCTGTCTCGTCATCAGAGGCATTGCCTGCTTCCAAGTGGGACACGGTCCAGCTATCAACAAAGCCTGCATCCAAGAACGCCTTCTCGAAACCCGCGAGGTAGCTGGCTGTCTGAATAGAGATAGCCTTCTTTTCCAATGCTGCTTCAAGCGTGAAAGACGAAGTAGAGATATTGAAATCGCCTGCCAGTATCGTCGGGTGCTCCGGATATGTTGTTGCAAGATACCTCAGGAGCCCGCCCATCTCAGACTTTTTCGCCATAACTGATCCATCCTTCAAACCACATGTCAAATGGACCGCTGCTAGAACAAGAGGTGTGAAGTCTGCGTCATCCCATATGCCAAGATCTTTGAACTTGACCACCATAGAGATCTTATGCTCACGCTTTGAGGGGACGGATTCCCAGTCAAATGCGAACGAACTCAGAACGACAATATTGTTGTGACTTGGCAGAGGCTCAATATCTTCCTGGTCTGGCGGACCGTGGCTGGCAAATGGGAATGTCTCTCGGATATTGTCCTCATCGAGAAGATAGGATAGAAAATCATCCGTGACCTCTTGGAGTACAAGAACGTCTGATGTTGCCCTATCAGAGAGGATATTCCTGACTAAAAGTGGATATCGATCCTGCGAAGGAGGGTAATGGAATTCCGCTAAAACGTTATAAGAAGAAACGACCAGCGTCTCCGGTATATCCCCAGGGGTATAGGCTGAGGTGTCAGAAGGCACCCACGAGTCTTCCGTCGTAGAAAAGTGAAAGCACGGCCGCGTTTGTACTTTCTCGCTTCTGGGTTCCTCGACATCGACATCCGAAGCGACATCCGCCTTAGACTGGTCATAAAAGGAAAGGGGAAGCTGTACTCGTGAGAAGTTGCCGCCACTCAGGGGGATCGAAGCCCATTTCTTCATCTCATAGCCGCCAGCCGGAGTGCGTTCCCTGATGAGCACACAGAGTTCACCAATCTCCCATTCGACAGGAGGCAAAAGATTCGCCTTTTGTAGGAGAAACTTATGCCAACTATCATGTACGTCTTCGGACTGGCCTAGTGTGAGGTGCATCCGATAATTGCCCTCCTGATGCCCTAAAACTTCAAGGATTCTCCGCCGCAAATCCCGGAGTTGTCGATTGTGACTATCATCGCCGTCGCACAAGAAAATGGTGTTATCATTCCGGTGCTCGAAGACACCTGCTGAATCCAATCGGAGGCGAAAAGACTCTTCACAGCCATTTGCCCCCCACTCACCCAAGGCCAACTCGATCACCTCGCAGGCTCTTGGTAGAGTCTCGACTCTTGCAAAAGGATATATCAAGTTGACGTGTGGAGGCCATTTTCCGTATGCCTTGTCATATCTTGATCGTAGGCGATCTAGGGGTGGCCACTGATGTCGTGGGGGAATTATACACAATGCCGTATCATGAGAGCCGACCGATATCGAAGTCGACTTTGCACCTGCCTCTCCAGTCGCCATGATCGTGTAATTCCTCACAATATGCTTGATATTAAAATTGAATTAATGCAGTGGCTCTGCCTCCCACTGAAAATGGATTTTGGAAGCAAGAGGCTCCCTTGCACAGAAAGGGTATCTTTTTTTGTTACAGAAGTCGAAAGCAGACGCTAATGATCCTTGCCGTAGCAAACAGAGAAGGTGAACTGCGAAGAATGCAAAGTGTGTATTTCTATAAGATGAAAGGGGCAAATGCTGAGAAAACAGCACGAGACTTTATGTCAAGCAGCCAGCTAGTAAAGTTGATATCAACCTTGATGATTGAATTAGTTAACGAATAGGGGAAAGTGCCCGTTTCCAGTGACTGTGGCCGAGCTGTAGTGTGACTCTTCGAAGCAGCTTAGCCTCAGCCTTCTTCTCCACTGGGCAGGAATTCTTGTGAAATTCCAATACAATCAACCGATTTTAGCATTACATCGTTGCGCGCCAGAGGATCAATCCTCAATCGTGGAGAAATGGGGGAAATGATGCTCTGGCCGGAGTGACTCACAGGGGACCACCATAGCTGGCTAAGCCACACCCAATAGCGCTTGTGTTCGTTTAAACCCACCGAACGCCCTGTGCGGCTGTGTTAGTGGGTGTAGCTACACCTCCGCCGGGGTAATAAACGCTATTTTAGCGAGGTGAATATACCAGAAACCTAGGGTTGGGATTCCTTGATTAGGGCTTCGAAGATTCTTACTGATTTAAAGTAGTAACTCTTTTATCTGGAAAGTCACGATTTCTACTCAGAATCAACAATTATTATCCTGGTGGAGGTGCATGATATTTTCATATATTATCATCTATTATCTTTGTTGTTGTTTTCTGGTGTGACATCTGGGGGTAGTCATTTACTCAAATGCGATTGGTAATGAATTTGTTTGATGGTATTTCTTATATATCATAGTTGAGAGGTTGTGATGCTTACAATATATCATAAATGAATGCTTGTACGCGTAGCCTTAGGTGTGGTATTCAAACCTTGACGTCCACTTGGGCGTCGTGCCAAATGAGGAGGCATTGAAGCACCCATTCAAAGGACTGCTACTTGATTGACAAAAGACAGTATAAATTATGCTCATACAATAGAAATAATCATAGCAGCCGTGGAAAGCATGCTAATGATTTACTTACCTGACTTACCTTACGCGTTAACAAATGATCAAGTCCCAGCCATCTCCACGTTTTGTTGCTCCTGAACTTCTCCCCTCATAACTCTCTGGGCTTCCTCATAGCGTTGACTGAGCTCACCTGAGTTCGGGTCGGGAAGCCAGGCTTGGAAACCGGGGACGAGGCTGGTTCCAGCAACCTCATTCACAGGTTTGATTACGACATACTCGTGGCAAACCATGCACGCCCAGACTCGCTGGCGATTCTGGCCGCCCTTCAGGGGTATGTTGCCAAAATTGCCGTTGTTGTCGTCATGTACATTGAACCAAACGTCGACGCCAACGTTCTTTCGACAGTTGGGACAGATGGGTTTGCCATACATGTTGAGGCGCCACTCTTGCATCACTTTTGACTGATAGATCATATCATCAGCCATAGTTGTCCTGTGCGCCATGCAGAGGACCCTTCCGAGAAGCTTCTCAGCGCACTGTGGCAGGAAGTTAGTAATCGATACTTCAGGAGTTGTTGTATGGGCAAAATTGGAAAGGGAGTACTTACGGCGCAACCAGTCATAGGTAGAGGAGCGCCCTGAAATCCTCCGCGGAAACCTCCGGGCTGCTCTGGCTGTTGGTGAGCGAGTTCGCTGGTCACGGTTGCGTTAGGATCAAAGCCCCAGACTCGATGTCCGCAGTATGCGAAATGAGACTCATCAGCTTTGGTACCACAATCGTTGCAGTAGTAAGCACGCATCCTGGAAATAAAGGTTAGCAGAAAATTCTTTGTATAATGATGGACAGTGTTGAAGATACTCACCCCACGATGTCGTTCACCTCCAGTCCATTGGCTATGACAAGTTTTGAAAAGTCGTTGCAATCTTCGCTGACGTACCATCGCTGGTCGACGCCGTCCTTGACGCCAGGATGACGACGGTCCTCGCACACATGTGAGGTCACCCTATTACAGATCTCAACGTACTCACCATGAGCATTTCTTACCTTGCGAAGTGGCTCCTGGCATTGGCCCTCTGCCGGGTTGTCGCTGGGAATCCGCTCAGTAGGGATACCCTGAAGCGGTAATCTTCCGGGATACTCCTCCGCCCTCAGGGGCGCGCGCATTAATTCAGCATTGACGTATTCAGGATGGTTGCTGCTGTACAGAATAGCATTGCCTCCTATCAAGGGCCGTTCGCTGAAGGGATACAACTGTGTGCCGACGTGGTTAGGAGCGTCAACAATGTTCTGATTCTCCGGGTTAGCAGGCGCGCCATTCAAACTCCATTGTGCGAAGCGCTCGACGAGGTCTGGCGCTTGGAACCCGATCTCTTGCATTGGCTGATCCCCTGGATCCTGAGGTTGCTGGATGGCCTGAAAGGGGTTTAGATTGCCGATCTGGGCTGACGGGGCCGGAGCTTGCTGAATTGCTTCGGGAGAGGCGAAGGAAGTCGCTGGAGTCAAGTGTCGACCAGAACGCAGAGATATTCCAGAGGATATGCCCAGTTGTGAGTGATTGTTAGTTTGATTCTGCTCCAGCTGCTGTGGTAGCCTCTCAACTGCGGTAGAGCGTTGACTCTGGGGGGTCTGCGCTGTCTGGCTCCGAGTGCCTGCTGAAACCGATCCAGTACGGAAAGCTGGATTGTATGGGTTGCTGAAACGTGATCGTTTTGGGTGATGGGCGCCGTAGTCATCATCGTCCTCATCATCCTCCTCTTGTTGTCTTCGCCGTCCAGCAACAGAGGGCGGTGCAACCACAGTTGTTTGAGGTTGGGACTGTGAGGCAACATGCTGAGTGCCCACTTGGAAACCAGCTGGAGGAGGGGGAAACACAGGGGCAGGAGCAGGAGCAAGCGCCTGAACTGGTCGTCCGACGAAGGGGAATACTGGTGTAGGTGCAATTGCTGGCACAGTCGGCGGTGCAGTTGGTGGCGGTTGCAACTGGGCAGGAGTTATTTGAAAGGGTGGCCCATTGAGAGGAGGATCCTGTGAGCAGTCCTGAATCACTGCAATGTCTCAAATCAGTATATCAATTCTAGAAACAAGGTTAGGGCAAGGTATCATCTTTGCTAGACCACGAACGGTGTTCACAAGATGTTTCTAGAAAACCAGAATAAACTTACAGTGTCCTTCCCATAGACAGGCCTCGCCAGCATTGCGACACTGAGTGCAGGCTTGTTTCCATGCCGGCCCACTAGGCTCTGCCAGCCAGCTGCAAGCAATGGTCCGCTTTGCTCGGCACTGTTAAAGATATTAGCTCTTATTTTTCATGGAAGAGAAGCGAGGAAAACATCTTGCTTACTCGATCGCATTTATGCTTTATGGCCATGGGGAAAACAGTGGCTGGACGAGGAGCCAACAATGTTCCATCGGCAAATATACACTGGTGGTTGGGATTGGCTTTCGTGTGTGCTATGCAAAGCGTACAGCCTATCCCATTGGCTCTATCTCCATCGCAGGTTCTGTCTAGAAATTGAAGTCAGTCATTGCTTTCAGGACGGTGAGGAGTCAGAAGAGCCGTATTGGAGTCATTTCAAGAGCAGATTCTCTTTTCGAGTTGTCTCTTGGTTCGAAGACTCGAAATATGAACAAAAAGGGTAGTCAATTACTCACGAATTCCTAGAGAAATATTGATTAGCGAAGCGTTCGTTGTTCAAGTATGGTGTTCGTTAGGATGGTTTAATAGACGAACGCCAATAGGCCGTTGTTGGATTAATGATAGTACTTACTCGTGCAGAATTTGCAACTTATGGCGCGCATGTTTGCTTGGTTGATTAACTTCTTAGAGAGTCTGATTTGAAACAATATGTTGAAGAGAACGGTTCGCCAAGGAGACCAGAGGAGACTTGTCGAAAACTTTTGACCTGCAAAATTTTGGAGTTGTCGACTTGAGGAGGATCTTGCCTCTCAAGTTGTTTTGGAGTTGTGAGAAGATTCGACGAACGCCTGAAAAAGGGAATCATCATCTCGAGAATCGCATTTAGTTGTTTACCAACTTTATGTAGTCTGCCAAAACGTCGCTCGAAAGAAACAAAGCCATTGATTCTTTGTTGAGAGACAATGAAGCTCCAGGTATTCGCGATATCGACTATCAAGGTAACTCAGACAAAGGCATATTGTCGAAGTAACCACACCCATCTTTGTAAGGGTGACGGAACAATTGGTCCCTCATTTTCTGAAAGAACACAGGACTAGGGCTTGAACAAGCAAGCAACTTGGAAGGCAACGGATTGTTAGAGGATTGGTGAGGATTAGTCTAGACTTGATCGACAAGAGACTGGAGGATTGGGTGGTCGGTTCAGGCAGTCGAGCATTAAGGTAGCAGACTGCTACATGGCTGATCTTCGTCCAAGCTGTGAGTGTGTTTTACACCTCCGCCAGGGTAATAAACGTTATTTTAGCGAGTTGAATATACTAGAAAACCAGGGTTGAATATACCTGATTGAGGCTTCGAAG